CTATCCTCTTTGCAATAGTAGAATGAGGTAGTTCGAATGGAAAACGGTGTACAAAATTCGAGCGTTGATTGTTCCCTCTTGGTGCTTAGGTGAGGAAAATCTTCGTAACATAAATCAAAATGGAACAATTAGCTCTCGATTTTTGTAGATCCTTTTCCATTGAAACCAACCCATTTTCACCTCTACAACGAAAGTTTCTTCATTAGCATCAAACTCGTTTTCGATTTCCTTCTTGTGAGAGAATTTTCTCCCGTTCAATGGCGTTTTTTGTGAGAACGGCCTTACCGTTCAGTGTCGAATAGAGAGCACTGTAGCAGAAAGCGCAAGCATTAACTGTAACATACTCTGGATTCCTTTCCTTTTAGGAATTTTTTCAGGTATTTCGAGAAGAGGCTACATTTGACCAAGCCGAACAGCGATGCGTTGCGCATGGCGGACATTTGGTGTCAATCCATAGCAACGCGGAAAACGATTTTGTTTACGGTGAATATTATCGTGCTCAAGATGTGATTTTTGATCCTGCGCCGATTTCAAATCTATGATCCCAATCTGCTGAAGGTTTCTAGAAACGGAGATGAGAGCAGTTCTCTTACATAGGCTTTGCGACTCTTACACCTGTATGCAGTCATTGTCACTGAGGTCAGTCGGGGCGTGGCAGCGACTTGCGGCGCCACTCGGTGTGCCATCACTCAATGAACGCCTCAAGCCGTAACCATCGAGGAAAACAGGATGGCGTCACGCCAAGACACACGCGCCACTTACACACAGCTATGTACTGGTTTCAGCTGTCGTTCACAAGTATGATATTGACAGTAAACAACTTGTACTCGGATGATGTCGGTGGAGAAGAGAGATACTTAGGAGAACACGCAGGTTCAAAAGTTTGATGAACGTCCCGATTTTGCTTTTTCTTGTAACATGTGCTCTATCCCGACAGCATCCACTTTCTGTTCAACAGTATCCTCGCTGCCGGTGACCAAAATGCATAGCGCTATCTCGTTGAGAGCGCGCAGACCAACATGGCAGATAACGGGCGCACTCTCAGCTCGTTGTTCGCTCGCCTGCCACCAACTTGATGTCGAAAATCTTCAAACCTCGCTGTGCAAAGTGTAGCTTATCCCTATTCAACGTGCAGCAGGAGAATACAGGTGAACGGTGCAGATTCGGAGCTCTCTTATGTAACTTTAGGCGCCGCCGCGTAAGCACGGTAGACTACCACACAATATGGTCCATTCTTATAGTGTTCTAAATTCAGGGCTTGCAACAACTGGGCAGCAAAAGGATAAGTACACCGATTTCCCGTGGATTGGACTAAAACAGAAGTACTATCCGCGGGATATAGCGTGGTCCTGGATAGACAATACTCCTATGAATTACTTCAATTGGTCCACCAAGCAACCGGACAATGGAGGGCCTGGTGAACACTGTGCACAGGTTAGTCTTTTTGCTGACAGTGCGTTTGTGGACAGGAACACAGCCTTGATGGAGCACCAGTCAGAGCGGTAATATCGATTACTGTTTACTTTTACATCATTTTAGATGTTCACCGACAAGGCAAACCTATATGCAGCGAAGGAGAGACTCTGGAACGATATTCATTGTGAGACAAAGTTGGCACAGTTCGTGTGCAAAAGGTCCGTTGTTCCCAAATACGGCAGATAGATCTATATGTGATTATCGTTAAGTAAAACAATAAACCTGCGTACCTCTAGACTGTGTTGGCCCACTTGTTAGGAAAAGCATTGATCTTGTTTTCGCTTGCAGTTCGTTGCAGGTGGTGGGGAATAGGAAAAGGCTGGATTTCGCGCGTCTCCGGTTCTTTCTCCACCAATCATGGAAGCCGGTAGGGGGGCTGGATTTCGCGCGTCTCCGGTTCTTTCCACCACCAATCATGGAAGCCGGTAGGGGGCTGGATTTCGCGCGTCTCCGGTTCTTTCCACCACCAATCATGGAAGCCGGTAGGGGGCTGGATTT